TCGCGCTCATCTCCTTCACATGCTTCGTCGCTATCTCCAGATTTCTGATCGTTGTTGTTGGTTGTTGGTTGTTGTTGTTGCGCACCAAACACAACCACCACAGACGACAATCAGTTTCCGCCATGTCGTGCGTGTGTGTCGTGCGTGTCGTGTGTCGTGTGTGCGCGTGCGTTGTGTGCGGGTGATGGGTGGGTGGGGTGGGGGGTGGGGGGGGGTAGTGAGTCGTACTTGTCGTTGTACTCGACGCTGCCCTCGCGGAACAGGTGCTGCGTGCTGGTGCCGAACCCGATGATGTTGAACATGGTGCCCTCGCCCAGGCTGCGCAAGAAGATCTGCAGCGTGTCCTTGACCTGGTTCATGCGGCTGCCCGACATGCTGCCCGACCGGTCGACGATGAAGATCATCTCCGTGTAGATGTCCTCGTCGTCGGCCAGCTCCAGCTGCGGGAACAGCGACACCATGACCGTCTTGCTCGTCCCCTTCTCGTCCACCTCCACTCGCCCGCACGCCCTGTTCGTTATTGAGAATAAAAAATAGCACATTGATCAATCATCTTGGTCACAAGATGTGGGTGGTAGGTGGGTGGTGAGGGAGGGAGGAGGGGCGGGTACTGGTGGGGCTTGGCGAGCTTGGTGAGCACGATGAGGTCCTTGGCGACCTGCGCCTGCGCACTGTCGCTGCTCAGCGTGACCGTGGCCTGGTTGGGCTCCTCGCCAAACTCGAACGTGATCGGGTGCGACGGCGACGACAGGCTCCTGATGTTGCTCGTCATATCTGTGTTTATGTGCGCGCGCGCGTCATTGTTATTGATGGCCATTTGTTGGCTGGTGGTGGTGGTTGGTTGTTGTCAGTGTGCGCTCAGTCATCCACATTCGACACACACACACACACACACCCACACCGCACACCGCACACACACGGCACCACCGCGCACACCACGGATCCATACCAAAGTCGATGCGCAGCTTGAGGTTGGGTGCCGAGTTGGACGACGCGGCGGCGGCCTTGTAGGACGGGTTGTCGTTGTTGGAGGGCAGGCGGAACCTGAGCTGCTGGCCCTCGTCGAACTCGAGCTCGGTCACGTAGGTGATGGCGATGTCGACGCTCTTGCCGGGCGGCAGGTTGCCCACGTTGACGGTGAAGATGTTGGGCTCGTCTTCCTTTTCTTCCATGAGGTAGGCCCCGTGGCCGCTCGCGATCGCATCGTCCTGTTGTTGTTGGTTGTCGTTGTTGCCAGCCACCCGCAGAGAGAGATCAGACACGGTGTGTGTTGTGTGTGTGTGTGTGTGTGATGTGTGTGGCAATGGGAGAGGAATGAAGAAGGTAGGTGGGTGGGTGGGTGTACGTAGGTGTTCTTGGCGTCTTCCTTCTCCTGGATGGTGCCCTTGATCTTGTTGCCGTCGATGAGTGCCACGAACTCGCTCACCGTGGCCTTTTCCTCGAGCTCGAACTGGTAGATCGCTGCATCCCCCACCCCACCCCCACCATTCCACGTGTGCACCACCGTGTTGGCCGCGAACGATGGTGAGCGCCCACGTCTCCACAACGAAAGGAAAGCAGTGAAGTGGAAGAAGAAGAAGACGAGGCAAGACACCTTCGATGGGGGTGGACTCGGCGTTGACGAAGGCTTGACGCACAGTGACCGACGAGCAAAAGTCCGTCACCTTGGCCTCCACGCTCACCGCCTGCACCCCCCACCCCCCAGATATCGCATTTAATTAATTTAATTTAATTTAAATTTTAAAATTAAAATTAAACCACATTCTTTGCCAGGCACGGGGGTATGGGGGCGTACCTTGATGGGGAGGGGGAAGGTTTCTTCGGCAGCAGCAGGCCGCACCGGCGTTGGGCGGATGGGCTGGGGCGCCACGGGGTGGGGCCTGCGGTAGATAAGATAGCCGGGTGCGCGACACATTGCGTTGGAAAGGAGTGTTTGGAAGTGGTGGTTGTGACGCGTTCGTCGGTCAGATGAGTGTAAGTGATGTTCTGCCGAAAGCAGGGCTGGGCCGGTTTTGGTGGTGGTCCGGGAGAGAAGAGAAAAGAGCAGCTGAAGTGAAAGGGCACAAAGCACAGCAAGCACCATTCACCGCACCGCCTCTCACCTATTTCGCATTCCTTCATAAAGACCAGAAAAGCGCTTGCGAGATTTCCTGGCCGCCAATCACGCTCGTTATTGGCACACAGCGGCAGACACCAGAGACAGACACCAACGCACACACTCCGGAAGAGAGAACTAAAACGATGAAGTGTGCTCTCGTGCTCGCGCTGGTGCTGTTTGGCCTCGTCGCACTCGGCAGCGCCAACCCCGGCTTCAAGGTCACCCTCACTCAGAATGGTGCCACCACCTCTTCTTCATCACCTGAAGTTTTTTTATTTTTATTTATTTCATTATATTAGTTTATTTTTTGGTGGCTGAAGAAGACGGTCGGCGCATGCAGGGTTGAACTACGCGCGCGGGGTGGCGATGCAGTACCTCCAGCAGAAGTTCGCCACGGTGCACGTGCCCGACCAGGGCGGCGACGCCCACGCGCCGGTCATCGGCAAGATCAACTGGCAGCTCCAGAACATCGTCATTTCGGGCCTCAGCCTCCCGCAGTCGTCCATCGCCATCCTCCCCGGCCGCGGCGTCTCCGTCAACATGTACCGCCTTCCAGAAATATTTTATTTATTAATTTATTATATATTTAGGGTTATGTATTATTTTCCATTTTATGTATATATAAAACAAATGATTATCATTTGAGCTAACGCGTGCTGAGCGCAGTGCACAGGCATCTCTGGAGATCACGATGGACTTCCACTACAGGGAGCACCACTGGTACGCGATGAGCGCCGCTCATGCGGGGATGTTGTTGCTTCTTCGTGCTCTCTCCAGCTCACGACTGCTCTCTCTCTCTCTCTCTCACACACACACACTCATCACCAGGCCGCACATCAAGGGCCACGGCAACCTGGTGATTCACGGAAGCGGCATTAACGTACATACGAGCGCCTCACCCACCAGGGAGGCAGCAAGAATCGAGTGTCTCTCTTTCCTGTTCTGACGCTGTCTGTGGCTTTCCCTTGTGCGTGTCGCGATGCGACGTAGATCGGAGTCGCGGTGCAGGTGGGCGAGGCCAACGGCAAGCCCACTCTGGCGGTCATTTCGTCCCAGTGCAGCATCGGCAACCTCAGCGTCAAGGAACACGGTGGTCCCAGGTACTGTCTATCTCTCTTTCTCGTCGGCGGCTCTCACTCAATTACAGTCACTGACGCTCTCACCGCTGGTGTTTCCTTCTTCGGGCGCAGCTGGCTGTACAACTTCTTCCTCAAGGTGCTCCACAACGCCATCAAGAACGCCGCCGAGAAGGCCGTTGGCTCTGCGATCCAGAATCTCCTGAACGATGTGCGTTGCATCCAACTCGCATCAATCGATCCTCTTTGATATGCAAGACTCACCACCGAACTCATTGCTATTTTGCGAACAAAACCGCACACACGCACACACAACAGGGCGGCAACAGAGCCCTGCAGACGATTCCCTTCACGGAGCAGTTCGCCGGCATCGCCGAGGTGGACTACTCGCTGGTGTCGGGACCGACGTTCGGCCCCAACTACCTGACCATCAACTCCAAGGGCGAGTTCTACTACCTGCCCCACAAGACCGTACGCCCATTTTCATCACCATTTATTTTATTTTTGATTGGTCTTATTTTTCCATTTTTAAAAGAATCTAATCATCACACTGGTTGGACGATTATTAGGAGGCGCCGTTCGTCGCGCAGCCGATGCCGGACGAGGTCAACGGCGATATGATGCAGATCATGCTGAGCGACTTCGTGCCCGACTCGGCCTCGTTCGTCTTCAGGGAGTCCGGCAAGATGACCGCCTTCCTCAAGGACAAGGTGCCCACCATCACGCCACTCCCCAGCGAGCGTGGGACTCTTAAAAAGTTTGAGCTGCTGGTCTCACAACGTTCACTCGTGCTGCCGTTCACAGGACCTGCCCAGCTGGTCGCCCATCCGCCTCAACACCAATAGCTGGGCTCGTATCCTTTAGATCACTATATTGCGTGTGTGGCGTGTGTGGCATGTGTGGCATGTGTGTGTTGTGTGCGTTGTGTCGTGTGCGAGTGCTGTCTTCCTTGACCGAGCGCCCTTCAAGATATCTTGCCGCAGCTGCCGCAGAAGTACCCCAACATGGAGATGCAGGCGGAGATCGTCACCACCTCGCCGCCCACCGCCTCCTTCGCGCCCCAGGGCATTCAGGTCGCCGGCCCCGGCCAGATCATCGTGTCCGTCCTCCCGGCCTCCGGCAGCCCCGTCAATGTGTTCGCTCTCAACATCCAGCTCTCCACCAGCGCCAAGGTTCGACACGACACACACGGCACACGACGCACGCGCTCATCTCAGGTCTTCTTACCTCTGGCCTCAAAACTAGGTTACTGTCCAGAACGGCAGGATCTATGCTGATCTGACCTACCTCAACTCGCCCGTCACTGTGGCCGTACGCTATTCGCTCTTCGCTTTCCTTCGTTCTTCACTCTTCGTCTTCTTGTTTTGATTGTGGCACGAGGGCTCGCGTTGATGGTTGTTGGTCTTACACGTGATCGCGTGTTGGGTGTGCACAGTACTCGAACGTGGGCACCATCAACGTCTCGCTGTTCGACAACATCATCAAGACGCTGAGCACCGATGCCATCGTGCCGTTCTTCAACTACTACCTCTCGCACGGCATCAACATCCCCACCATCAAGGGCGTCACCCTGATCAACCCCACCATCGTCTACGGCCAGGGCTACCTCGCTATCGCCACCGACATCTCCTACGCCCTGTAGGAGCCGCAGCAGCCTAGCCACCGCCTTCGCCGCTCCTGTATTGACATTTTAATTCTTTTTCGCTCAGTTATGGTGAGTGGTGGCGTGTGTGTGTGTGCGGTGGTGTGTGCGACAAGTGGTGTGTTCGCTTTGTAGATCTCTATTTTGCGTGTGAACGTTACGTGTGCTAGAATCAAGCGGTGGTGGGGTCGACCACCTTGCCGACGAACAGCGGACACTGGAGGCGCGCATTGTAGATGACGAACGCGAACGGCCGGTCGACCACGAAGTCGATCACCGAGCTGGGCGCCATGGCCATGCACCTGAGCATGACCACGGCCGTGGCGGCCGCAGCCTCGGTACCCTCCTCGTTGACCTCCACAAAGGCCTTGTGGAACACCTTGCCAATCTTCAGCTGCCTGCAATGGTTGATTGTGTCAGGAACGACACGCACAACCGCACAACCGCACAACCGCACACACGCACACGTCTGTGTGAGCACGAGGAGGTATGGTGAACGTACTCGGCCGGAGAGTCGGGAGCGACCATGGCGCTGAAGTCGGCGTTGTCGGTGAAGGGCAGGCTGATGCCCATCTCCTGCAGGAGGTCGGCCAGCTCCACCTCGTACTCGAACTTGAAGCGCGGCAGCTTGATGTTGACCTCGGACTGCTGCATCGAGCGCTGGTTGTGGTTGATCTTCCTCAGATTCTCCTCCGACACCACCTGCACCATTTAGCATCACCACCGAAACCGTCAGCATTCCAAACATTGCATCACCACACCACGCGAGACACACACACACACACACTCATACCGATTGCAGGGCGCTGGGGGAGTTCTCGTGGGGCAGCATGATGAGCATGACGATGTCCTGACCCTTGTAGGGCAGCTGCACCATGGCGTGGTCGGCGAAGCTGCCGTGCCGCGTCTTGAGCTTGTTCTGCTCCATCATCTTGACCGTCTTGGTGCCCGCGTTGCCCAGGAGGTGGAAGTCCTGGTCCTGCGTGCTGGACTTCTTGAAGGCGTGAGCCCACGCGCCCTTGAAGTAGATCGCGTTCGTGATCACCAGCGGCACGCCCGGCTGGATTGATCTGTAGGCCCAGCTCACCAGTGAGCGCTGTGTGCGTGTGCGTGCGTGTGTCGTGTGCGTGTGCGTGCGTGTTGTTTGTGTACCCAGAGGGGAGGAGGTCCTTGATCTTGTCTTTGGTCTTTTCTTCGACCCACGAGTTGATGATCTGACGCGACTTCTCGGGTTGGGTGTTGAAGTCCAGGTTGCGCGCTTCCGACAACAGCTCCTGCGATCGCTTCACGTAGTCCTGGTGGATCTGGAAGTCGTTGGAGACCCAGAGTGCGTTGGCCACCGACAGCTCCACGCCCTCAACCTTGTTGAGCTGCGCTTGATGAAATCAAACGAGTAGTGCGGTAAGATGATGAAAATGAATAAAGATGAAGTGAAGATGATGACAACGTACCGAGTAGATGAGCGAGACGATGTCGTGGTGCAGCTTCTGCGGGTCATGGTCGGGTCCGTAGCCGATGGCCTTCTTGAGCTGGCCCGCCGTGTCGCCCTTGGCGCCCTCCAGCGTCAGCGCTAGCGCCGTGCCGACGCTGTAGGGCGACACGAACACGTTGGCGTCCGCCTTGGCCGCCGATGCCACCCGGCCGAACAGCTCCGCAGCGAACGGAATGCTCACCTCGCCGGCCCTTTGCGCTGCCACGTAATCGACTTGCTGATTCATTCTTCTTTCTGATTTTTGACTTGAATGTGGGTGTTGTGTTGCTCTTTGTTGGTTGTAGTTGGGTTATGTTGCTTCTCGCAGCAGGCAGTACTTATACTGAGCCGCCGTGCTGTTTCATCTCAGCGAGCGAAGCAGAGCCCGACACTTCTCTGTGCCGCTTGTCTTGCACGTTTCGGGATTGAACACACGAAAATCGTGAACCGAGAATTTGTCGACAAGAATGCGTGGCACGCAAAGAATGCGAATTTTTCAATATTATGGCGTGGCCACCACTCTCTTGTGGCATCGCGGCTGTTTCACTTCAGCCTCGTTTTCCCTGCTTTGTCTGCTCAGCAAACAGAGAAGCGCGGCGCACAGCGTCAACATTCGGTCAAGCACCTTAACACAATCAAACACCTTCACACCCTCACTTAAACACAAAGAGCTATGTGTCGCGCACCCGGCTATCTGATCTACCGCAGGCCCCACCCCGTGGCGCCCCAGCCCATCCGCCCAACGCCGGTGCGGCCTGCTGCTGCCGAAGAAACCTTCCCCCTCCCCATCAAGGTACGCCCCGCGTTTTTTGTTTTATGATTTATTTTTTCATGTCTAAAAAGTGAATTAATTAATTAATTGCGATATCTGGGGGGGGTGCAGGCGGTGAGCGTGGAGGCCAAGGTGACGGACTTTTGCTCGTCGGTCACTGTGCGTCAAACCTTCGTCAACGCCGAGTCCACCCCCATCGAAGGTTTCTTGCCTCTTCTTCTTCTTCTTCCACTTTCCTTTCGTTGTGGAGGCATGGGCGCTCATCACGACCAATGCTGTGGTGGGGTGGGGTGGGGTGGGGTGGGGTGGGGTGGGGTGGGGTGGGGTGGGGGGTGGGGGTGTGGGGGATGCAGCGATCTACCAGTTCGAGCTCGAGGAAAAGGCCACGGTGAGCGAGTTCGTGGCACTCATCGACGGCAACAAGATCAAGGGCACCATCCAGGAGAAGGAAGACGCCAAGAACACCTACGTACATTCCCTCCCTCCCCCCATTGGCCGCACACGCACACATGCACCGCACACACGCACACGCACACGCAGTGTGTCTGATGTTTGCGGATGTGTGGCGTGGCTGGCAACAACAACAACCAACAACCAACAACCAACAACCAACAACAAACAACAGGACGATGCGATCGCGAGCGGCCACGGGGCCTACCTCATGGAAGAAAAGGAAGACGAGCCCAACATCTTCACCGTCAACGTGGGCAACCTGCCGCCCGGCAAGAGCGTCGACATCGCCATCACCTACGTGACCGAGCTCGAGTTCGACGAGGGCCAGCAGCTCAAGTTCCGCCTGCCCTCCAACAACGACAACCCGTCCTACAAGGCCGCCGCCGCGTCGTCCAACTCGGCACCCAATCTCAAGCTGCGCGTCGACTTTGGTATGGATCCGTGGTGTGCGGTGTGCCGTGTGTGTGCGGTGTCTGTGCGTGTCGAATGTGGATGACTGAGCGCACACTGATAACAACCAACCAACCACCACCGCCAACAAATGGCCATGCAAAATGATGATGCACATAAACACATCACAGACATGACGAGCAACATCAGGAGCCTGTCGTCGCCGTCGCACCCGATCACGTTCGAGTTCGGCGAGGAGCCCAACCAGGCCACGGTCACGCTGAGCAGCGACAGTGCGCAGGCGCAGGTCGCCAAGGACCTCATCGTGCTCACCAAGCTCGCCAAGCCCCACCAGTACCCGCCCCTCACCACCACCTGGCACATCTCGATAACGATTGGCCATTCGCTCAATAATAATGCTCACTCAACGACCAACAGGGCGTGCGGGCGGGTGGAGGTGGACGAGAAGGGGACGAGCAAGACGGTCATGGTGTCGCTGTTCCCGCAGCTGGAGCTGGCCGACGACGAGGACATCTACACGGAGATGATCTTCATCGTCGACCGGTCGGGCAGCATGTCGGGCAGCCGCATGAACCAGGTCAAGGACACGCTGCAGATCTTCTTGCGCAGCCTGGGCGAGGGCACCATGTTCAACATCATCGGGTTCGGCACCAGCACGCAGCACCTGTTCCGCGAGGGCAGCGTCGAGTACAACGACAAGTACGACTCACTACCCCCCCCACCCCCCACACCCCACCCATCACCCGCACACAACGCACGCGCACACACGACACACACACGACACGGAGGAAACTGATTGTCGTCTGTGGTTGTTGTGTTTGGTGCGTACCAACAACAACGAAAACAACAACGATCAGAAATCTGGAGATAGCGACGAAGCATGTGAAGGAGATGAGCGCGAACCTGGGCGGCACCAACATCCTGCGGCCGTTGCAGGAGGTGTTGCGGGCACAGACCAAGGAGGGCTACCCGCGGCAGCTGTTCATCCTGACCGACGGCGAGGTGGGCAACACGCAGGAGTGCGTGGACTTTGTGCGCAAGCACGCCGAGACGACGCGCGTGTTCACCTTTGGCGTGGGCAACGAGGCCTCGCAGGACCTTGTCAAGGGCCTCGCCAAGGCTGGCGTACGTCCTGCCCTCCCTCCACACACCCGCACCCTTCTTGGCACATAAGCACTGTTTTAGCTCCGGCTGCTGCTCTCTCTCGCAAGTGTGAGATGAGTCACTATTTTAACTCCGCCTTGGGGCGTGTTGTTGTTGTTTGCATTGACCAACAACAGGAAGGGTTCTTCGAGTTCGTGCGGTCGGGCGAGGCCATGGAGGAGAAGGTCATGCGGCAGCTGCATCGGGCCATGCAGCCGGCCCTCACCGACATCACGGTCACGTGGAAGGGCGCTGCGGCGAGGCACGTGCAGCCGGCGCCCTTCAGGCTGCCGCCACTGTTCTGCGGTGGTCGCCTCGTGGTCTACGGCATCATCGAATCTGCCGCCGCCGCCGATGAAGCGGGAGGCGAGGTGGAGGTGGTGATCGGGGCCAAGACGGCAGTGAAGCCGTTCGAGGCGGTGGTGAAGGTGGATCTGAGCAAGGCGAGCAAAGGCACTCTGCTCAACAAGCTCGCCGCGAGGACTCTTCTCAAGTGCGTGCCGTCTCTCCCCCCCCCAACCGCACACACCGCACGCACACACATCGAAGATGAAGAGCTGACGGGTTTGTTTTTATGTGGTGGTGGTTGGTGGTTGGTGGTGGTTGGTGGACAACAACAACAACAACAACAACAACGACAACAGGGATCTGGAGGAGGGTCGGAGCTATGTGCACGACAGGGAAGGTGTGGTGAAGGCGGGCAAGGACGTGGTGGCGGAGATGGTGCGGGTGTCGCTGGCGAGCGGGGTGCTGTCGAAGCACACGGCGTTCGTGGCGGTGGAGGAGCGGGACGAGGCCACGGAGGGCACCATGAAGGTGCGCAAGATCCCCATCACCTTCGAGAAGCTCGTCCCGGCCCGGTCGCAGCCCGGCGGAATTGGAGCACGCGGCGGAAAAGGAGCACTCGGCGGCGGTATAGCGCGTGGCCGAGGCGGCTACGTGCCCGTGGCGGCGCGCGCTGGCCCCGCGGCTCCTAGCGCAAGACGCCTCTCGTCCACCACCACCAGCAACGCCGCCAACCTTCAGGAGTCGTGCCAGAAGAGGAAGAAGAGCAACAGCGCGTCCGTGATGAAGGAGAAGGACGGAGGAGCCCGAGCCCGAAGCGAAAAGGCCAGCCCGGTGGTTCATGCGCCGCCGCCCGCCTCGTTCCAGGGAAAGACCTTCGCCATGGCCGCGCCGTGCGCGCCCAGCCCTAGCGCCTACTCGCAGCCGCAGCCGCAGCAGCAGCAGCAGCTGGCACCGCCGGCTTTGGCTTCGTCGTCTTGCTCTTCGTTTTCGTCTTCGCTTTCGTTCTTGTCGGCGCCGCAGTCGGAAGCCTACGCCGTCAGCGAATGCGAAGAGGAGGAGGAGGAGAAGGCGGGACCGCCGCCGGCGCAGATGCGGGACATCATCATGAAGCAGAAGGCCAGCGGCAGCTGGGACTGGAGCGACGCCGCCGGCCTCGTGGGTCTCACCGCCGACAAGCTCCGCAGCGGCATCCCCTCGGCCAAGCTCCTCACCGGTACGCCTCTGTGTTCCGTGTTACGCGCGTGTTGCAGGCGTGCGTCTTGTGTGTGCGGTCAGCGTGTGCGTGTGCAGTTGTGCGACGTTGGGCCAGGGCTGATGATAGTGGTTGGTGGTGAACAACAACAGTGGACAAGGAGGCGGAGGCGCTGTGGGCGACGGCCGTGGTGGCGGCCTTCCTGCAGAAGAGGTTCCCCGGTCAGAAGACCAACTGGGACCTGGTGGTGAAGAAGGCTCTCAAGTTCATCGCGCGTCAGAAGAAGAACGTCAAGCTCGCCTCTGAAAGCGAGGAGATCGACTGGGTGCAGCTCGCCACCGCCTTCCTCCCCTGATCGCCCCCCACCACTGCGCACTAGGCCCACCAGCAAAAATGTAAAGCATGTACACGTCAGCATTGAAAAATTAAAAATAAAAAAGCACAAACAATGTCAGCTTCAGAAAATAGAAAAGCGGCAGGAGGGCATGTTGCGGACGAAGAGGCCGAGCACGGGGGAGCCACTGGAGG